AGATAACATAGCAAACCTTAAAGAATTTAAGAAATATTTACAATTGGCAGCTGAAAATGGATATGAGGTTGCTTTGCGCTTCCTAGGTGTTTGCTATTTTGAAGGAACCCATGGTTACGAAAAGGATCTTGATCAAGCCATAGATTATCTTAAATGTGTAGCTTTTCAAAATCACAATGAACAATTTAGTCAGAATGCAACAAATATAATAAATCAAATAAATCAATCAAATCAATCAAATCAAACAAACCAAACAAATCAAATAAACCAAACAAATTAAACAAATTAAACAAACAATAAATCATATAGACAAAAATAGAAGGTAGTTTTATTTTTCAAATATCAATATTATTTATTTAGTGTATGGATAAATTTTTTAAATAAAAATATTACTATTGATTAGATAGGATATCTGGTGTTTTTTGTTATGGTGAATGATAATTATTGCTTTCTTCATTGAATTGATTTAAATGGAAGCTTGCAATTTTACATATTTGAAACAAAAAGGTGTTTGCTTGCTTTATTTGTTTTAGCAATCTTCAACCATATCAATTAAGACTAATTTGTAAAATTGTAAAATTGCAACTACCTAAAATTTAAAATTTTACTTATTAAAAGATATAAACACACGTTCAACACTAAAAAATGGTAAACATCATAAGGAGAGTCTCTATTGTGAAAACGGATTCTACATCAACGTTTATATTATAGATATTTATGCTACTCGTTTGTTTCAAAATGCAACTTTATCATTCAATATTCATCTTCATCAAAATGTCTGATAACAAAAGTTCTATAATAATAACGGAAAATCCCCGATTACTATTATTAGTTACTATTAATACTACTACTCACTACTAATACTAATACTAAGCCAAATGATCCGTTATAGAGAAAGCGAATGTAATTAATAATTCGAAAGCATTGAATTAAATTTCATGATTACCAAGCGCACAAAATTTTAATGTGAATAGCAGTTTGAATTGATTAAAAAACTATTATTCGAAAGACAAGCGTAGGTTGTGTGAATCACATTGTAGATGTTGTGGAAAAAATCCAATGTTACAGGATTGGATAAAACTCACTGTTATGAAGGTGAAAAAGGCTTTCAATATTTTGATGCTAGCTTAGATTACTAGGTTATTTTAAGAAGTTGGATAACATTATGAAATTTCGACATTTTTATTTTGAGTAAAAGTCCAAGAAATTGGTAATGGACGCTTTCATGAATTTAAGCTACTGGTAAATTTTATAATGCATCTATCGTATGACATACAGTAATTTCGGAAGACATACAATAAATAGGGTTACTTTTCATAGTAACATATTTTTATAAAATAAAGAAACCAAACACAATTTTATCTTAATAAACATCCTGTTAATATACGCACAAAGTACCGAAAGATAGTACCCAACGACACTGCCTTTTAATAATTTTTTATTCTCAATTTATATATTAGGCGTCACAATTTGTACAAAATCATTATAAGTCACGCGGCACCATCTTTCGAAACTTTACAACAATGTTTTATTTAAAATTTAACATCCTAAATTAACCAATTAATTAATTAATACGAAGAAATAAATAAATATCATACACAAATAAGAAATAAAAAAATTATTATTATTGTGTATATATATAAATAAGGTAAAATTAAAGGGGGTGTGAATTTACAAGGAGTTTTGATGATTAATTTAAGTAAATTAATAACCATTAATTGGATAAAAGTGATTAGATGATAATTAACGGGATAAATTGAAAAAGAATGTGAATATAGAATCTATATTAAAGATTCTAAATGATGCATGTGAATGCACGAGTTTGAGAATGTGGAATAAATCATAATCTAATCGCAAAGATAATGGTAAAAATGATGGCGAAATGAAAAAAGTAAAGTGGATGGGCAACAAAACAAAAGAAAAAAATAAATTGTCCATTTCTTACATCCAAAATTAAAAAAAAAATTTGAATGTATATATTAAAAAGTAAATTGTCCAAAATTGTCTCTATAATAAAAAAAAAAATATACAAATTTCCAAGAAAAATAAAGAAAAGTTTTTTTCAGAATGTTTTTTCATTCTTACTAAAACCATAACACAACTATCGTCCTAATAATAATAATAAAGTTATTATTATCAACAAAAAACCCACCCAAATAAAATAAAATAAAATACAAGGGAAATTACAATCATTAATTAATCCTTCCTTTTCTCTCTCTCTCATATACATTCTCTCCAAACAGGTGTCAATTTTTTCTAATTTTGTTACGAAAAATTTTTTTTTTGCTCTATTGATTTAATTCTAACATCTTATATTCTTCATAATTATGTTTCTAAATATTTTTTAATGCATAAATCCAATATCTATCTTCATTAATCTATATGTCATTATGTCATTATTTGTCTATTATAAATTATCTACTGCTTTCAACAATCATCGACATTCTTTTATTAACTTGTCTTTTTAACATCGATGATGGTTCGTTAGAGAAACTAGAAACGTTGCCATTTACTATGCTTTTTGGTCTTGGCCTAACCGGTGCAGAATTAGTACGCCTAGTTATAGGTGTTGGTAAAGATGAAGAATTTGAAGGAGTAGTGGAAGCAGAAGACAAAGGCTTTTTTGATGATGATAATACTATTGATGGAGAAGGAGGAATGCTACTTTTTGTAGATTTAGTAGATGAATTATTTTTATTACCATTGTTTTTATTGTTGCCATTTATTTCAATTTTTAATTTTGTTTTTGTAGCAGACGGTGATGATGATGAATTAGGAGGCGATGGTGATGATGATGATGGTACACTTAATAAACCATTAACAATATAAGGAGATGATGATGGTTCTAACATAGTTGGAGTTGCAACTGAAGATATCGATGATGACGATTCACTAGATGTACTAGAAATACTATTACTACGTCTAGTATTATTAGAATCATCACCATCATTATTATTACCATTATTTTCTAAAAAGAGTGAATTGTTTTGGTCAGTTGATGATGGTGATGATGACAATATATTGTTGTTGTTGTTATTATTATTATTAGAGAATGAAGAAGATCGTGGAGATCTGGGAGACTTTGACGAAGCTTTGTTACTCGAGTTGAGATGCGATAATGGATCAATGGAATTTTTAACAAATAAACTATTACGCTTTTTCGTTGATGACGAGGGAGGTGTTTCTGAATTACTCCTTTGACTAGGTCTAACGGGTGATACGTTTCGTGAAATGTTAGAATTAGAACGTACAGGCGAAACAGCTCTGCTTGGTGCTCGACTTGGTGTCCTACTTGGTGCTCTACTTGGTGCTCTACTTGGTGCTCTACTATTGCCACCCATCATGGCTTGAGTAATTGCTTGACTAATAGCTTGACTATTTCTTCTTGATTTAGTTCCATTATTGTTAAGACCTGTGGGTGATACAGATCTACTAGGGATATATTGGCTGTTTCTACGTGATTGTGGAGATCTTCCATTACTATTACCATTTGAAGGTGAAACTGAACGACTAGCTGATGGAGCTTTAGCAAATAATCTGCTATTTCTTTTATTTTCGTTGGTAGGTGAAGATGGTCTGCTTGGCATTGCTTTTTGGCTATCTTTACGTTTTGAAGCATTTTTTGATTTACTGCTGTTTTCATCATCATTATTGTTAGCGTTTTTTGTATTTTTAGAGCCAAATTGTTCAAAACCGAAGAACATTTGATTTACAATACGCTCAGAAATTTCAGATTGCTATAAAATTGAATTTTGGGAAGATGGAATGAATAAAAACAAAAATACATAATTACTAAATTTTCTTTAAATAAAAATTCCGATATTCTTTTATTTACCAAAGTGTCCAAGTAACGTTTGCTTTCATGCATAAAAGGTTTACGTTCAGATTCTTCGTAAGCAACACAAGCATTGATTAGTTGATCTTCAATCTTAACCAAATTGGGCCAACATGTTTTTCTCCATTTTTCTTCTTCCAATAATCGAAATGAACTTTGGAATAGACGACGTGGGTCAGAAGCCTTTTTCTCAAATTCAATCATTTTCTGGAGGCGATGAATGAGGCGAGGGTGATAAATGAGAGGAAAGAGAGTAAAGAAGAAACACATCAATTGATTAATTAGCGATTAGCGTTAATGTATTTGCGGTTTTGGTTTAATTGACATGATATTTATTAATCCTAACCTCGATTAAAGCACGTCTTTCTAACATCCATCTATATATCTTGGCACATTTAGCATAAAGATCTTGAAGACGATCAATTTCTTGCGCGAGTAATTCGTATACTTCTTCAGCAGAATTCACTAAAATTTTCGAGAGCGTAAGTGTGATTGATCGGTTATAAACAAATAAACAAACAAACTAAAAATTATTTTCCTAAAAAAAAACTATATGTTTAACTTACATGAATGTAAATTTGAAAAGAATTCATCACGTTCATATTGAGGAACCAAACATTTATCCCATAATTCACCCAATTGTACTGTATACTACATTTCGTTATTACATCAATATAAATATATCATCAATAAAATATATCGTTAATAAAAGGAACAACAACAGAAACAACAACAACAACAATAAACCCTCATTAAATAAAACAAATAATTCATAATAAACCTCGTCGATAGCCTTTTGAATTCGTTGTCTCATAATTTCACGAAGGCTTTCATATTCTTTTGATAATTTATCGATATTCTCTTCGTCCAACGAATCACTAAATTCCAATCTTTTCTCTTTCGGAATATCCAATTCTTCATAGAAGCTATGTATAGTTTTCTTCAGCATCATCAATTTCTGTTTACGTTCCGTGTAACTTTTTTCCAAGCCGAGGATTTTCTTTTTTAGAATTTCTAAATGATCCGATGTCAGTTTTAGCCCGGACGGGAGCTGTGCAGTATAATAAATGTAATGGCATAATTCCAGATCCAGATTTATAACTTGGCCTTGTTCTACTTTATCGGCATCATTATTTATAATATCGCTATTATTACTATTTGTAAGACTATTACTACTAAGACTATTATTATCATTGCTACTATTATTGTTCTTATTTTTTAGCGTTTCTTGTAACGCTTCAAAAATGTCCTTTGGATTTGGTTTATCAACAAATAATTGTGATAAAGCCTTATCTATTTCATCTTTTGGTTTGTAGCAAAGAGTGTCCCAATAATAATGAAGTTGAATCGATGATTCTTCAAATTCGTTTCGAAGACCAAACTAATAATTACAATAAGATATGATATGACGAATGGTAAATAATCCATTAATTGTTAATAAGATG